ACTTCGAGAAGTTTTAGTTTCAATATTCTGTCTGCTTTTAAATCTGTGAGTTCCTCTTGTATATTAATCAGAAGATGTTCTGAATTCACAACAAATGGATCACGAACCCAGTCGAAATCTTCTACACTCTCTCCAAAACAGTTATTGAATTCCTGCTGCAGCATTTCTAAATGTTAATTGTGTCCATCACCATTTTATTGCCGTCAGCAAGTGGCCATACAGTCAGGGACATCTCAAACGACCCATCTGTAATTCTCTAACTAGCAACCAAAATTTGCGAACTACTTCAGAGCACAGCTGTGATAGAACTGAAACAATTGTAAAACGCGGGATCTCTACTCTTCTAATGAAGTGACACTATACCGCCTTATTTTTGAAGTATTTATAATTTTAAATGAAGTCCAACAATCGGTGGGTGCATCGTTACAGGAAGAAAGTCATAAAGCTGAAGAAGCTCTAACTTCTAACAAACAGGGGCAAACACCAAAACAGCGTTATAAAAACAGGAAAACCCATGCTAATCAGTGCAGTTTTATGGAAAAGCACATATACAGAACATGTGGCAAGCATATCAAAGAAGCTGCGTAGATGCGAGAAAAATAAAAATAAATCAATAATGAAAACTATGATATAACAACAACTGTGAGTAAATAATTTACGTTTAATTTCTTAGAATACAACATTACTGTACATAAAAAAATCACAGTATGTAATAAAGAATAAACAAGCATCATCTTATTTAATCAGTGCAGTGGCTGAGAATAAAATACAAGCATATGAAACATGGTAACTGGGATAAAATAAAACGAATAAAATTCGACAATTAATTTCTTACAATAGGTAAAAGTTCGCGTCACACCTTTCACCTTGTGACAGCACATCAGTTGCGGAACACTGACTTAAAAAGCAGAGGCTATGGTGGCCTGAAATTTCATAAAATTCATAAGTTATGGGAAAAGTGGTCAATTCATTCAGGAAATTGAAAGGGAAGCACAGATACACAAACATAGTGATCTAATAAGAATCCTTTCTTTCTTTAAGAAAGGAAAGTAGGTTAAGAACAGAGAGGCATGTGAATTTGTCACAGTTTTAAATTTATTTTATTAAACATTTGTATTCCACTGTATCTAGCAAAATATATGTGTGAATCAGTTGACCCTCCCTTCCCCAAACTGTTCTCAGAAAAATTTAAAGTTCTGCTTTTATCATATCATTATTTGGTGGGGTGAAACAAGGAAATGGAGAGAGAAAAATAATTTGTTAGCTCACATCTCACTTTGTAATAATTTATACATACTACTAACTCACCCGTTGCACATGCTGTTTGCACACATTCAAAAGATCTGCACGTGAAAACTCACACCACTCCACATCCTCTGGTTTTGACTGGTAGAGAAGCATAAAAGTGTCCAAACGTACTGATGTGCTCCATACCTGAGACTCCAAATACGATATCTTTGTGATGTTTAAATTCTAGAGAAAAGGCAACAATGATATTATATAACAGAAGCATTATTGATGCGTTGCCAGTAATTAGCAGAAAACCCAGTTCCAGGATCTGCAATACATAAACTCCAAACTCTAAAGAACCAGTACAATTTTAAGTTATGAACTATATAGTTAGGATAGCTGAAGCATGAATCAAAGAAAAATCATAAATTTCAAAGGTGATATTAGTTTTGTTGTTCTGCACATCCTGAATATTAAAAATTTTCATTCTTATTTAACATACTACAGAAACCCCAAACATGGCTTCCATTTCACTAAACTACATATTATAATATAAATATTTAATTTCTAACCATGTTTCTATCCTTCACTATGTAACACTTTCAGTGATGTTTTGAAACTGTGTGGCTTTTATTGAACCATTCACATTATCACTATCAGTATGTGCAACATATTGTCATGTGTTGGGTATGTAACGTGACGAATAACTTCACGCCGTTTTGGATCTAGCAAATTTTATCCACATTCACTTGTGGGAACTGCCCACATTCAAGCAAGTGTGACAATCCCACACACTCTTACACTTACACAATTTACAATTTCACAACTGCTGCCATCTGCAGAATCACAATTACTTCTCCTGCTGTAGTCACTTCCATGCACTTGATACAACTCAACTCATAGCTGCTGGTCTTCAATTCATGCTGCATACCACCGAATACTAACTGGCATCGGCGGCTGCTACAATTCAACTCAACTCCTTACGCATTCCAGTCTCCCTTATAAACCCTCAGTCGGACAGCGGAAAACCCGCCTCGCTTCACTGTTGCATAAACATCGTGTTTACAGGCGTTGCTGGGGAATGCTGCCAAGAGTTGTTTATTGCTGCGTAGCAACCAACTTGCTTCGGCTAGTCTCACTTCAGCTCTACTCAGCACGGCACGGAGAAACACCGCTTTCCTGATTATTGCATAACCTCGTTTCTACTGTTGCGTAACTTGGAAACCAACCATTTATCAAGGGTCTGTCTTCGTGGTAACTCATTCCACCTCCCGTTGCCCAGCAACGGTTAGACATGTCACAATATTTTGGTCATCATGCAGCCACCGTCAGGTATGTCTGTGCAATTATGTAAGTTGGTACCCTGCATAAGCTAAACAGATTTGTCAATAAAACTATGATTGTGACTGCCATAATCAGTCACATTTCTAAATCGGTTAAAATTATAGCAAAATCAACATTTCAATTGTAATTAATACTAATGCATTCTCGATCTCTTTGTATCATTAAAGCAGTTTGTTAGTGTGTTTTTGTTTTTCTTTGCCCTGTTTGGTTTAATTTGCTAACTGATATATTTCAGTTCACTGGTATATGTGACTGAACTGGATGATGATGGCGGTGCGGGTGGTAATTGTTGTTCCTATAGCAGGAACAACACAGATTTGTTCCATAACACCATTCCACGAATCACTCTTGGAAATTAAGAATACATGCATCTTTAACTAAAATTGTGTCTTTCTGACAGTTCTTCCTCGTGCCTCTCTCTCCTTGCCAACTCATGCTTTATTTCTTTCGTCCTAATATAGCAAAACCTTCACATTGTGCTTTAACATGTAAAGCCTCTCCTGCAAGACTAAAAAGTTAGAACATGCTATAAAAACTGATGTTTTTAACAATAACAAAAAATTACTCACGCAGCACACGCGCACACACACACACACACGAGACAGAAAACATATGCAAGAGTACTACGGCAGAAACAGACAAAAGGGTGTGACAACGTGCATGAAGGTGTCTGTGTGTGTGTTTGGGCATGTAAAAATATGCAGTTATGCATTTTTTTCAACACCATAAATCATTTCATACACCCTCAAGGAGTTTATGAAGCACACTCTGGGAATCACTGATGTAGGCTGTTGATGTGTTGTTCTGTTTTTGCTGTTACATTCAGCTTATCCTTATTCTTTAAAAAGAAAGCTAATTCAATACAATTAAGTACATAAGTGCATATTCACTGGCATTCATATAAACAATAATTATATTCATAATTAAATAAAATTACTAATTAAAGGCAAGAACGGTTATCCTTTCCATCAACAATGTAGTATTTACATGATTTACTTTTAGCTTTCACATTTCTGAAATCCTTATAGCTAAGCTGAGAAACTCTTCACACAAGAAACTCATATAGAGAATACCCACCCTTATATCAGTTTTCTTCAGTCTGTCACTTGCATAATCTAGAAGTGTCTGCATTCTGGTCAAATTAACAGGAAGTGCTTTAATACAAGCCTCACAAACAAATTCAAGATCTTCGATTTTGTTCAGCAGGCAAATGAATTTATTGAAATTCACCACTTCTTCTGCACTATCATGAGGTAAATGCCATGGCTGAAGCAATTCCATGTAATGCTTGACATGTTCTTTGTATACCAATTCAACATTGAGCTTGTATCTAAGTGCAAATGCCTCCGCATCATCAAATTTATTTCGTCGTAACAATCTATGAAATCTGTAATGATAGAAAAAATATAATTAAGGAAAAAATAATATAAATCTGTAAATTCTGGTACCATTTTGTGGATCAGAAGAGCAACTAGTGCTTTTTATGTCTTCCAGAAAACAAGTACAGTATTATCTCAATTTTCTCAAGTTCTGGAGGTTATATATATATATATATATATATATATATATATATATATATATATATTAGACTGAACCAATATATAATAACAAACAATA